GTAGTTGTCAATATATAGAGACTTCACAGAGCTTGCATATGCATTGAGAACTGCCTGAGGAGCAAGAAAAAGCATCATTCAATTCACAGAGAAAATTCCAAGCGAGAAGACGCAGAAGTGGAAGGGGTAGAGGTTTTTAAAGAGAATGGGTCGGGGGGTTAAAAAATGAATTTCTTCAAAGAGAGTAAGTAATAGACAAGAAAATGGAGGCATAGAAGTAAGAAGATCGTGCGACGATCTAAGACCAATCAAATTTGTGATAATGTCAGAGATGAAACAAGTCTATGTGGATTTTTAACTGTGAGGACCAGTTCTCGTACGAAAAAAATTGTTAAAGCGGTACAGAAACGTTCTAGTAAACTTATTGGGGTACTCTAAGCTTGAGTATTGACCTTGCAGAGAAACGACTCTTGATTATGAATTGTAGATCATTTGCTTAAAACAATATACGTGGTACTTATAATATACTTGACTTCTGGTAAAGCTAAAATCAAAGCACCCCAAATTTACAAAGTTGATACACTACAACTCCATTGATTTTTAATGTCAATGAAACGTTCATCTGCCATCCACCTGTTGTTGTCTTCTAATAAGTATGGATGATGCTAATCCCCTTTTCTCCTTTGTCTCTGCATTCTCACTAAAAATGAGCCATGGAAGTGCATTTTTTGATTGTTCAGGGATAACAATTCAGTTTGCAATTAACGACATTGACGACCGCGCCACCCACGGTTGGGACACGCTTTTCTCATGGCATTTGTCGCTCAATTTGATTTTATAGAAGATTAATGCATTTAACAGACTAACAGTTGATTTACCTTCAAACAAAACCAGTACAAATGAAAAAATAACAACGAAGGAGTGCGTAGTTTTGCGCCAGGCACGAATGGTAATGCGCGGTCAACAATGGGCTAAGCTTTCTTGATTGCAAAGATAAAAAGGTCTGAACTTACTTCACATGAACTATAGGCAACTTCCATCGCACTACTCGTGCGACTTCATCATATTCTTCTAACCATGCTCGTCTAAGCTTTTTCTCATCGACATCGCAGAATGACACTACGCGATGCTTCTCTTCATCATGAAGCGATCTATAAAGTTTTTTTTTGAGACATGTTCAGTGAATATATCCTCAAATCACCTGCTCACTTGAAAAAACGCTTCCCTTGTTTACCAGCATTCCAAATCGTAAAAGACTTCCAATAAGGAAGCACATGACTGCGAAATCGATCCACACGCATATTCCATATGACAGCTTCATTGACTTCAAAGGATGCACAACTGAGGTGGTAGCGGTAGTACACAAGTGGTTTGTTCACCTATACGGCTAAAGAGAGATACGATGAACATCGAATGATACAAAATATACATACCTTGCACAAGCAAATATCATCAATGTCTAAGGCGCGGTAGAAAAACTCGAGATCTTCTGGAAAGCCAGTACGCACATTGTCTCTAAATCCACCCATTCTACAGAACAATTTTCGTGAAATAAACCATGTCGGAGCTATGAGGGTCGGTCCATGTGATGTGTAAACCTGCGAATTGAGGAAAAAAATTCAGAAAAGCAAAGAAGATGACAAAAAAACATACCTGTAATGTCAACTGTTTATTGGATAAGTTGTTGGCCCATTTCGTATAACGCTGAGTGGAGCCTTCGGGTATTCGACGAAAATTGCACCCTTTAAGTGAAAAATGACATGCAGTGTATGCAGGGCTCTACACAATCACACGATGTAGACGATGATGTAGAATTTTACTGCGTTGTTGACAAAGAAAAAATAGTGATGAAAATAACTGATATTTATGCCCTAAGTAATAGAGTTCCAATAAGGCGCCAGGCGAAAAGGCGTGTACTTTTCATCGTTTGAACTTGAAATTAGAGTTGGAGTTAAGGCAGCGCCGATCCTTATATGACTTCAAACTAGTAAATACAGCTTCAAATATAAATTTCTTCGAACTCTAAGCTACAAGATCTCGATGTTTGGCGAAAGCTAGCAGTACGATGGTATACCCACAACCATAAGCTCTTCGAGGCACATATGAGAGAGGCATGTTCCCCACAGAGTCTGAGCACACCCCCTCGAATGTTATCTTTTAGATTTCAGAAATTGAGAATTCTATAACACACAATACTTTACGGAGCCTAGAAAAAGTGTTTGAATCAAGCCTGCCAAAGAAGTGCATTCTAAAGCTGAAGACAACGAAAAA